ACTTTCATTTCAGTGCCGTGTTGGGCCTGCGTTTTGCCGCATGGGCCCCGTTCCAAATGCCCACGGCGAAATCGCCAATGAATCAGTTGTTTTTCATGAACATAATATATTCATGGTATACAATTCGCAAGGTATAAGTTGGGAATGTGCAGATTAGTATTCAGACTAATGCGTCACTTACAATAGTGAATGGAGTGACATTTTATTGATTGAACGAAACATAATGATGTGAATACTGAATACTAACCTGCACATTCCCAACTCATACCTGCGAATCCTCTATCATGAATATATTATGTTCATAAAAAACAACTGATCCATTGGCGATTTCGCCCTGGGCATTTGGAACGGGGCCCATGCGACAAACGCAGGCCCAACACGGCACTGAAATGAAGGTGGTGGGGCACATTTGCCGTCCCAATCTGCTAGAGTATCGCTTACACCCCTCGGTTTTTCCTCAGGTGCTTACCCGAGGTCCCTCGGGCCGGATGGGCTTTTACTACCGGTTTCTTTTGTTCAAAACCGCAAAATCTCGAACTTTGAGGCCATTTTTCGACATTATCCCATCTGATAGCGAAGTTAAAAATGGTATCAGTCGATTCGCCTTGGCGAGACCTTTCTAACGGTGTATAGCATATGCTGTACGCTCTTGGGTCAGTAAACCCCTCTATGACTTAACATTGTCCTTTCAGGGAAGCATTCCTTCACATCAAATTTTTGCTAAGGAATTTTTTCCTCGGAAGTGGGTAGGATTTCGGGGGTATATGTAATGACCAAAAATGATTGTAATCGATCCTTGCAATCGGAAATAATTTTTTTAGAACGTTTTGAAAAATTTCAGCACCTATTCGAATTTTTTTTCTTGAAAGTGGGTAGGATTTCGGGGATGTGTATTCATAAAAAACGATTGTAATTGACGTCTGCAACCAAAAATAATTTTTTCAAAATGATTTGAAATTTTTTAATTGAATTTTTTAATAACTTTTTAATGAAACCTCAATCAAGAAATTGATATTCTTGAGTTTCGTCTTATTTTGGCCTCTAGAATCTCCCATTAAAATTTTTCCCTGGGGTGGCTGAACATTCTGTATAAGACTTGATGACGAGTCTTATGATTGTGAAACTTGACTTCAAGAAGTCAGACTTGTCATTGTACGGCAAGGGGTTAACTGAAATATGCGTGATCATTACGATTTAAAAAAAAAAATACTGCACAAGACACAACGAGAAAAGTTGTTGAGCATTATTCTACTACAATTGAAGAATGCAAATAAATTTTTTGTAAGATGACGAAGGATCTTGAAACAGAGGATCGAGAGACGTCGTGTGGACGATCGCGTTGACGCCGTTAATCTTGCCGAGAGGATCGTTTTGCGGAAGCGACAACTTCTACGGAACCTCGGCCTCATTAGAAAACCCCTCCCCCGAGCTATTTCTCTTCCTCCGGGATAACCGTGGATGCTAATTATAAAGCGCGGAATAATGAAATCATCTTACAGCGCGGGGCTCGCGAGCCCGCTGACTTCCTTGAGAACTTTTTCACTCGAGCCTTGAGAGAAACGCCTTTATTAGTGGCGGTACATTGCGCTCCGTAGAATTAGGCTCATGGGATTAGCCGGTTGGTGTTATTAAGACAAATTGTCCGCTAATCGTCTCAACCTCCCGGCCACCTAACGATCTTGAATTATTCGTCGCTACAGTCTTCTTTCTAAGAGCCTCCTATCAATCGATCTGCCTTTTCCAATTATTCTGTATTAGGCGTTGGCAACTTTTCAAATTAAAATTTCGTAGTAATTATTCAAAGTATTCCCAATTCCCATTTCAATGACTGCTGGTTTGTTTTAACGTCTAAAATGTACGCAAAAATATTTTCGATACTGGTTTCTTTTTAAACCACGCCCTTAACAACTATAAAAATTAATTTCAATCTCGACCCTGGGTGGGATGACAAATGGAAAATAGACTCAATGTCACGGATAACGATAGTTATTTCATGTTATAGGTTTGTCCTCAAATCAGGAACGTATAACGAATTTTCTAGTTTTACAGATTTTTCTATGATACCATTTATGGGTATTAATTTGAACCACTCCTGCTGCCTTTACACTTGTCGATGCATTATTAGCCAAGTGCAGTTCCTTATTAATTGAACTTGTAATTTCCATAAATTTATCTTTATTTTTGCACAAGTGAGCTGTATAGCCACTATCGAGATACCAATACTTATTTGTCCTACTCTTAGCAACATTATGTGTCTCGTTTTTGCTAATATCTTCTATATTAAACACATCATCTGCCATTCCTGCCTTCGAATTGACGTTTTCAACATTTCTTGAATAGCACTGATTTGCCTTATGTCCTAATTGTGGACATTTATAACAATGCGGTCTTTGAATTGTCTTGGCATCATATCTATCATCTCTCAATTCACGATATCTACCAACATTTCCGTTATCAACATTTCTATTTGTACCATTAATACTTCTGTGGCGTCGCCTCCCATGCTCGCCACTAGAGGGGTCGCGCTCTCACAAGCGCTCGACCGACCCCTCAGTTGCTATAATATACATTCCTCAAACGACTTCCCAACATCCCAGTCGTCTAAGGCAGGGCCTGCTAGAAAGCCTTACTGACGAGTCCACTAGCAGACCTGGACGAAACGCGCCCTCTGCTTTCCTTTTCCGTCCTCCTACGAATTTCCCGAGATCCTACCCACAGCGAAGCAGCGCTACACTTCTTTTATAAAAACTTCTACTTGAGTTACTACTATTCCCCTTATAATAATTAAAATCTCTGTTCGTGCTTCCTGTATTACCTATATAATTATTATATATTTTACTTATACTCATCGCTCTTGGATTATCAGTGTTATGCTTATACCTGCGCACATCTAATTCCTCTATAATTTTTATCTTAAGCGTTTCTGCATCTGGCAATTCGTCCCAAGATTCTATCGCACATCGAAAATTGTCGTACGAATCGGGAAGGCTATACAACATTGAGCTTAATAAATCTTTATTTACATTTATTGCCATACTTTCTAACTTGTCAACAATTTCAAAAAACTTATATGTTCGCGTACATTTTCAACCTCTGACATGTGATTTGTGCTCAACTTCTTCAGTAGTGCTACTTTTCTCGCGGGTCTTTTAGATGCATAAATTGAATTTAACTTTTGCCATACCTCATACGATGTGGTGCATCCTTTTATTTGTATGACTTGTAATAGACTTATTGATAAAATCAGATCAGCACGTGCCTTCCTATCCATGCCATCCCACGCTTCTGCCGCGGCTCTCGATCCTGCGTTTTCATACTGCCCAATTGGTCACGATTTTGTCCCGGATGCATATTCCCATAAATTACTCTTTCTTTTAGTAGAGCCTCTACTTAAATGGTCCATGATTCGTAACTACTCTTGTTCAACAATTCTATACGGGCAGTCGATACCACGATTTGCGCCATGCTTCCAACACGTGGTTAAACTCAGTTTTCTTTTAAACTTACAAACTTTATATTTAAACCACGCTGATCAGAACGTCCTGGGGCCATAACCTGTTATAGGTTAATTGAAACAAATAGTTGGCCAAAATGCAAGGTTAAGCAGTATGAATTTATTTCTAAAACTTTACACAGATCACGTATGTACATACAACACAAGCCGGTGGGGGAAGCGTCATGCACCGGACGTTATATGAACGACTGAAGCGCGAAATACAAACACTTACAATTATATCTAACATTTCTTAGTACTTTAGTTTCTGGTTTTTAATAATTCTTTTATTTCCCTCCTACTTTCAAATACATATACATATGTATTTATATATTTATATTTATACATATATATATGTATATACACATATGTATATGTAAGCACAAACGCACTTTCTTGGGTTCATACTTCTTCATGTATAGCAATACGAAGTGCAGTGAAGTAAACAACAAAGGATATAGACGGGACAAAATTCACTGCATACTGTCATTATCTAAAATATGCATTTATTTATATCTCGTGATTTAAATAAGTTGACTCGAATCAAGAACTGCAATAATTTAACTAAAGAGTCGGATGTATATACATACGTTTATGTAAAAAACAGCTTTTCTACAATTTTAATCATAACATCGATTCATGATATACTAAATTTTGATGTTTTAGTGCGAATACAACCATGTCAAATATTAAAAAAAAAAAACTGAAATAATGTAGTTGCAAATAAATTTTTTTTAAATAACTTTTTGTGAATGAATGTATCTTTTTGCTTATTTCTCTCTCTTTATAAATTCTATAGATACTTGCTTGATATGTAACAGAATAACTGATGTTGGTGTGAAAACAGCCCTTGAAATATTTTCGACTTTGTAAAATAATTTTGAACCTATGGCCCGCCACATGGTGTCAAAATACAAAATGATCTGAGGTTTAAAATACGTTTCACGTGTCTGCAAATAGAACAAAGTGATGCTGCACACGTATTTATGTGGCAACCATTAACACAATATAAGATTATTTTATATTTTCATTATATCTTTACGAAAATAATAAATCTCTTTTCAATAATAAATTATTCGAATTATTTCCAAAAAACTTTCAACTATATTAAAATTATTCTAATTAATGTAAAACTTCATAAATCTATTAATAATACTTTCACAAAGATACAATGAGAAATATAAAAATTAAAAAAAAGTGTTTACCGTATAGAAGAAGAGAATAAGTGGTGGAGACGCATCTGTGTCTTTTCGGCGGGGAAAAAATTCGGTCGATGAGCGAGGGAATACTGTACCGTGTGTGAAAGACAGACACACAAGACTACCGGTCAGCGTATATTTTTACAAAAATAAATACACGACGTTCAACGCCCTCGCAGCTCTGGTAACGCATAGAACTTATGTACAACCACAATCCACGCCGCGACGTCGTCACGATCGAGGTCGCTATTATTTACACGGCTAATTCTGGGACGTACGAAACTCGACGTTCCTTCTTTCTTCTCTCTTCACGCTAGAAAGCCGCAGGACATGACGATTAGGATCAAGGACAAGGCACCCGTGAACTTCGTCGATGAGTCGAACGCATTCTGCGTCAAAATCTGACACTGAGAGCTCCGAAAGTGTTTAACGTTTCCTTCGGAGTCCCTCGCGAGCACGCACAGCTCGTACTTCGACCTAGAGTCCTGGAGATCCTGAATCGTGAATGATCGCTCGCTATAGACGAGATCTTTCTCTATGGCCGACTTGCTGCTTCCGGATTCGCGTACCACCACGTAGAAGTCACCGATGTCTTCTCGCGACGTCACATACCAGGTTGCCTTCCAGCTTTTGTCGTCCTCGTTGCTGGAAGATATGGTCAATATTTAGCTTCTTCCAGTATGTTCTTAGATTTAAAATAAAAGGTACGGAAGCAAAATCTTCTTTAAGACTAAGGGTTCTTTGTAACAGTATTTTTCAACCTTTTGGTTTCGAACCAAAAGTAATCGATAATTAGGTTTTTAATTTTAGAAATGAAAATCACCAAAGTGTAAATTGAATTTAAATTAAATTGAAATTTTTATGTTAACTTATATTTCTGTAAAACACATTTTGTAATTTATATAGTATGCAAGTAATGCATTGTAAAAATAAAAGAAATCGATAATTGGGTTTTGAATTTTGGAAATGAAAATAACCGAAGTGTAAATTGAATTTAAATCAAATTCAAATTATTTGGATAACTTATACTTCTGTAAAACACAGTTTGTAATTTATACAGGGTGTTCGACCATCTCTGGGAAAAAATTTTAATAGGAGATTCTAGAGGCCAAAATAAGACGAAAATCAAGAATATCAATTTATTAATTCAGGCTTCGTTAAAAAGTTATTAAAAAATTAAATTAAAAAATTTCAAATCATTGTAAAAAAATTATTTTCGGTTTCGGGGGTCAATTACAATTATTTTTGGTCAATAGACATACCCCCGAAATCCTACTCACTTCAAAGAAAAAAAATTCTTTATCGAAACTATAATGTCTAATCAGAACTTATTTTACTGAAATTTCATGCATATGTTTAAAACAGCATAACTCTCGAACGGATTAGAGGATTTTAATGATTCAAAATTTAAACAATGCGTATTAATGGAGCCCCACAAAAATGGGCCGAAAAAATGCATTGGATGTAAAGTCTACTCTCAGATTGCCGTTCTACAGGCGGAACTTTAAGCGTTAATGACTTTTTAACGAAGCCTTAATGAACAAATTAGTATTCTTAATTTTCATCTTATTTTGGTCTCTAGAATCTCCCATTAAAGTTGTTCCCAGGGGTGGCCGAACACCCTCTATAGTATGCAAGGAATGCATTGCAAAAATAAAAATAATCAATAATTGGGTTTTGAATGTTAGAAATGAAAATGGCCGAAGTGTAAATTGAATTTAAATCAAATTGAAAGCTTTTGTTAAATAATAAAATATTTTTGTAAAATACACTTTATAATTCATACAGTAACTATGCAAGTAATGCATTGTAAAAATGAAAATAATCGATAATTGGGTTTTGAATCTTAGAAATGAAAATTACCAAAGTGTAAATTGAATTTAAATTTAAAGTCAAATAAAGATATGATATTTATCTATTAATTTCGATCCGAAATCTTGAAAATTAAAAGGGAAGTAGACAAAAAAGAGATTGCTTTGGATTCAGTGATCCAATTGGAAGGGAATACGTACTACTCGATATTTCGATATTTCACGTCTGGGGTGATGTCGAATTCCGGATACTCCTTGACCTCCCTTTCTCCACAACCCATCAAATCCTCTGTGACTTCCAATATGAGCTTCCCCGCGAGGAAATGTGGAGTTCGACAGCTGACGTTCGACCACTCCTTCGGCATTTCGGTGTGCGTGTTCAGCCACCTCTTCAGGGGCCTCACGTAACAGTCGCAGTGCAATGGGTTTTCTGAAAATCAAATTTATTACACATTAGTTTCCTTTCTACGCATTTATTTTATCGATTTTATTTAATGCTTGCGAGACAGGATGCGTTAAAGAGAAGACATACAAGGACACGAAATATAATACAGAGGTTTAGCAGTAGCTGTTTTACTGCCTATCAAAAAACTTATGAACTTGCCTTAAAAAATAAGATGGGCAGAACAATGCTGCTAAGATGAAGAGGGAAGGAACGAATGAAGAATTGTGAGAAATTGAGAAAAATAAAACAACGGAAATACCGTTAAAGGGTCATTCCATGCGAAGTCGGACACCTTTTGGAGTACCATGTCGGATTTTGTTCTAATTTGAATATGTTGTAGTCTTTAGTGATATTTAGTGAGAATTGTTTGTTATAAAATTACTTACTTCATAACAGCTACAACTTTTGATTTTTCACTGTCTGAATAAATTCGGGCAGTTAAATATGTTACTTCTTTGGTTGGAGTAAATGAATGAAAATGATGTGTTCCACAGATTGTTGTAGACAGTTCACGTCTTTCCAGCAAGAATTCCGAATGTTTCTTATATTCTTCTGTTGAGCTAAATTCAAAATGTATATTTTTAATATTGACAGTTGCCCAATCAAATAATTTTTGTGGTGTTGTTATCTGGTCTTCCAACGGCTTTTGTACACTAGCTCGAGCAGCAAGGCGTTTTAAGGAACCACTAATACCATCGCATCCATTTTTGCCATGCGATGTTGCAAAGTAATGCCATTTGGCGTTGATTTCAAAGTCTTCAAAATCGAAACTAAGATTCAATAAATTTTATTTATTTTTGTACTGCAATGATGCTCCGTCAGAAAAATATTTGATTTTCTTGACAATTGTGGCATGTGTTTCTTTCAAAAATTTCACTAATTTCTTTTGGTATAAATGGACTGCAGTATTGTCATGTTCGGGACAATCCGAAATAATTACAAAGTTGTCATGGTTTAGACAATTATCCAACAGATAATATGCAATAAATGTGAGTATTGTCACTTGTTTGTTGGACCAATGATAATTGGTTACGACGCCACAAAAATTATTTGATTGGGCAACTGTCAATATTAAAAATATACATTTTGAATTTAGCTCAACAGAAGAATATAAGAAACATTCGGAATTCTTGCTGGAAAGACGTGAACTGGCTACAGCAATCTGTGGAACACATCATTTTCATTCATTTACTCCAACCAAAAAAGTAACATATTTAACTGCCCGAATTTATTCAGACAGTGAAAAATCAAAAGTTGTAGCTGTTATGAAGTAAGTAATTTTATAACAAACAATTTAATCCGGTAGAGGATCATTGATAGAATCCAACCATTATTCCTTAACCAGAATCTAATCCCATCACATTCCATCATATCCTATCCCACCTCCCGATGGAAGAATACTCAACACCTTCTCGTGGTTTCCATTGAACATTGACAACTTAAATGTGTATAATGCTAAGTGTCATTGACAAAGAGTGAGTGCCCAAAAACTGTTAGACCTTCCAGCAGTCCAACACCTTACGTATAACAATATTTCCTTTAAAGGAAGAAACATAACGTACTTGGAAAAAGATTTGTATAAATAGATTTCCAGTATTCATGTTATTTATCAATTTTAATGAGTATTCTTTTAATGCCACTTTGCTACTTCAGTATTCTATTATAGAATCGTAGGAGAGACGTTAAATATCTTAAAATATATGTATAGTAGATTTTAACACATAAATTTTTAAAATTGCAATATCATACGTATCTCTTTGCAAATGCAATATATCCTTTTCCTTCTTTTTGATCTTTAAGGAGATATTATACTAGTTTTATCTGGCACACAAGAGAGTTTTGTTTTTTTTTTATTATATTAAAAAATAGAAAAATTGTCACATTCCTTGTACAACTCATATTAAAATAGTAGTTCAATAGACAAAATGAAGATCCAAATTTTGGATACACTGAAGAAAGAATAAAGACTATAGGCAATATAAAAGTAACCAAACAGGAAAACAACTAAAGACTGTATAATATAATGAGTTTAGTTTTGACACAACACGAAGGATACAAGAGACATAAGCATAAAAAAGCAACACTGTATAGAAATTTTCATTTCTAACGTTTGTGTGTTACCAGAATACTGTAGTTTCGTGCCATTTTCTATGATCTTCATAAAGTCGTCGTCGAAAATGCCTATCTCGTTGGACTCCACGTCGAGGATCTTCAAATTCGGCAACAGTAGAATTTTGTTTAGCGGTATATGGCTCAGATGATTGTGACTCAGGTGCAGATTAGTCAGATTCAACGGTGGATCGAAGATGTCCTTTTCGGAAATGTCGTTGATCTCGTTGTAGGAAAGATCCAGCGTCTCTATGGCCGTCAAGTTCCCGATCACATCTAGAAAATGCATTTAACACTTTGACTGCCACGTCACCTATATGTAGGTGACAGACTTTACCACTATGATACTAGAAAAATTCATTCTCAAGTTAAGACGTTAAGGGAAATAAAGGATAGAATTTGCGAATTTTAGCAAGGTTACAAAAATAAGTACTGAAACAAATGTTAGACTATGTAGCTTACAATGGTCTGAAATCAAAATTTTACTTTTGCAGAATATTATTCGGTTTTGATCTGATAATGGAACAAACGTTCAGTTACCAATGTTCGAAACAAGTTAATTACTCACATCTTCGAATCTCGTTAATATTGTTGTGACTGATGTTCAACGACTGCACCTTCTTCGTGCCGATGGTAAGTTCGAAAGTCAGCACAGGCATAGTGTTGTACGATATATCAATGTCTTTCAGCCTGTAAGGGATCCACGGGTCGTTTGGAAAGGTTTTCCTGGTGACGAAAGAGATTTTGTTGTGGCTGAGATTGAGCCTCTCCAGGGATAGACAATCGTCTAGTAGCCCATGAGTCTTATTGTCCAGACTCTCTAGTTTATTGTGCGAAAGATCGAGCGTTCTTAGGGAAACGAGACCCTGGAACGCTCCGTTTGGAATATGACTAAGTTCATTGCTTGTCAAATTCAACGTCAGCAGTTGCAATAACCCTTCGAAAGCCCGGCTGCTCACGTTCGATATCCGATTATTGGCCAGATTCAGCTCGAACACTATTGGCAGGCGTCCGAATGCTGACTTTCCTAGCTGAGTTAGCTGATTGTCCTGAAATTATTATTCGTAGGTAACTGCCTTTATGGATTTATCGTTAATTCGTTAAACCAATCGACGACCATTATTATTCTCGGTATCTGTACAGCTCGAGATATATCCACGCAATTGTTTCAGGTCATAACTCTGTTATTAATGTATTTACGAAAAAATGTCAAAGGACAAAGGGAAATGGCTCAAAGAGTACTACATCCGCAGGATGTCAGAATTTTTTTTTCAAATTCAACAGTGCATGTGCAATTAAGAATGGCATCCTTTCTTTAAATTGAACTGCATATCTTTTGTTGCACAGATCCGTTTCCCTGTTCATTCTACTTAAAAAATTATTAAGGTATCATGGCAAAAAAATTATTAGTTTCCGAGATATTTTCAAGAAATATCTTTATTGAAGAAGATGCTCAAACGCTTCTCCATTACATTGTAAACATTTCCGATAACGTTTTTTTATTGTTTTCATGACTGCGTTTAAACTATCTGTATTTATCGCTGTACTTTTCAGTATGATCTATTCTCTCATAGTCATGAAGCGTTTGAGCATCTTCTTCAATGAAGATATTTCTTGAAAATATCTCGAGAACTAATAATTTTTTTGCCATAATACCTTAATAATTTTTTATGTAGAATGGACAGGGAAATGGACTGTGCAACAAAAAATATATATTTCCATAAAAAAAAGGATGCAATTCTTATTGCACATGGACTGTTAAATTTGAAAAAAATTTAGGGTCTATAGATGAAGTGCTCTTCGAGCCATTTACCTTTCTTTCTTAGTATTTTTTCGTAAATGCATTAATAACAGAGTTATGGTCTGAAATAGTTGCATGGACGAAGCATAGTCCTACTCCATCTCCAGCATACGTTTAGGAACGTCTTTATACAGAACTATTTTGAAATACATTATGTAAATTGATCAATAAGATATATGTAAACATTTTTTATAAAACAGGTTTCATTACTTTTTAGATACATCTCGTATATAAAGAGTAATATTTAGATGTCTAGGCTAGTCTTCATCATAACGTGTACGATATTCCTTCGTAAAATGTAACTTTTTGATAATGAAAATTCAAAGACTCGACAGCGTTGGCTACCAAATCGAAAACGAGTTAACGACGAGAAATAGATTCGGTTCAATGGTGCAACCTGCATGTGAAGATACTGCAAGCTGTTTAGACTGCTCAGCGCCTCCCAAGGTGGTTTCGTCATATTGTTCGACTGCAGGTCCAGGGTCCTCAAGGTGAGCAGGTTCTCGAAGCTTCCATACTTGAGATTATCGGCCAACCGATTCCTGGAAAGGTCCAACGAAAGGAGAGCGTTCATCGACGGCCAGATGTCCGTGATGGGTATCTCCTCGAGTAAATTGTCTGAAAAGTCCAAAGAGGCCAAGGAGATTGGCAGCTGAAAGATCTTTGTTAATCGGTTGCTCCTGACAGTTAGGACTCTGCAAATCGATACGTCACGATTGTTATAAAAACGTTAACGTCTGTTGTCTAACACGGAATACTAGTTTCGTGTATCCCGCCAATTTTCTTTATTCTTTTACGCGTTGTGAAGCAGTGCTTCTTAACGTGGACATTTAAAGTTTCAAATTGAAATCACTGAAGCAAAAGTTGAAGTTTAATTCAATCGAATACACGAACCATTAATTTTTAAATAACATTGCCTCCAGGGAGAATCAAATTTTGTAATATCAAATGAAAATTATCAAAAAAATAAATAGAGCATTTGAAAATTACTTATGACTTATTTATAGAATGACGAAACATTTATTAGGGAGATTTACCACCCTAGAAAATTTGAAAAAATAAACGACGAAGCAACGAAAGTTTAGACCCTTTATTATCCTCTTAAAATGTTTCTTGGCCGATATACAAAAATATGAAAATTTTCTTTTTCAATGGTCTATACAAAAATAAAGGAAATCGGCAAGGTACACTAAATTAATATTCGTGAAAATGACCAATCACCTGCAGCTTGGCAACCTAGTCAGACTGCCACGGGCGACGTCGATCAGCTGATTGTAACTCATGTCCAGGTCTAGGAGTGTTGGCAACGGACCAAACGTCGACGGTTTAATCTTTTCGAGAGAGTTATGCGACAGATTCAAGAACCGTAAACTAAACAGTGTTTGGAACACCGCGTTGTGTATCTCGGATAAGTTGTTGTAGGACAAATCGATCGTGTGGAGCTCGTAAAGCTTCGGAAAGGTCTGGCGGGGCACCGAGTGTAACAGATTATGGGAGACGTTCAGGATTTTCAAGCCAGTCATATTGTGCAAAGGCACCTGGAACGAATAAAGATGAAGTTCTTCAGAGTTCTCAACTACATCGTTCTATTTAGAGACTCTATAATCGGAGTCTGGCTATCAACGCCTCTGACGGTCCGCCATTTTAATTCCAAGTGATTAACCGTTTTCTCTAATTTCTCGAAATTAATATAAAATTTTGACAACGTACGATCACACACGATTGGCAATAAGACGACAGACTCTGTTTATAAGGTCTCTAATTCGATTCGATGCTAAACAATACCTGGTTTAGAGCAGTGAATTGGTTGTAACTCAGCTGCAATTCGGTGGCATAGGTCGTGCTGTCAAACGAGTATCTGGATATATTGTCTAGTTTATTATGACTTATATCCAGGACCGTCATGTTCACGCAGTTCTCAAAGGCTCCCGGCTCGATCTTCGCGATCTCGTTATGCGACAAGTTGACCTTCGCCAGAAAGATATCCTTGAATGACAACTTCTCCACTACGGTCACGAAATTCTCAGAGACGTCCAACAACTGGGGAAAAAGGGTCGATGAATGAATAGATTTGCTATACAGTACCTAATTGCTCTTATTAACCCTTTCCCGTACTTTAACGAGTTTGACTCGTGACAAAGATTTTGGCGCAAACATAAATATAACGAGCCAGATTCGCGAACAGAAAGTCGGCCCAAATGTAAACATCACAAGCGAGGCTCGCGGACAGCAAATCACGATCGTGATTGAGTTTTAGTTTCTATCAGAACGCCACAAGAGTTGGTCGCGATTCTTATAACCTCTGTTACAAAGCAGTTTAGCATCATTCTGGTCTGTTTACCGCGCGTTAACGTCTGCCGTTTGGACCCGGATTTCGTCGAGTTAAATGATACGGGAAGGGGTTAAAGGTTTCAAAGTTACGTTTACTACGTGGAAAAAGCCCCGTTTGGTGTCTTTAATATTTTTCAGTATCAATTAATGAATACGATTCGTACCTCGGCAAATTGCAGTTGATTGAACATCTGGTAATCGATTTTCTTGATAAAGTTCCTGGCCAGGTCGATGGTGCCTATCCTCGTGACCGGTCCGAAGGTTCCTCTGCCAATGTCGTTGATCTGATTGTCGCTCAAGAACAGCCTTACCAGGAAACGCATTCCGCGAAAGGTGTTGGAATCGAGTTTTCTGATTTTATTGTGGCTCAGATTGAGCACCTTCAACAGCGAGTTCCTCGCGAAGGTGCCTCTGCGATCGGTAAAGGATGGGCAATAAAACGAGAGGCGAGACGAATTACTTTACGTACCTCTTCAAGTCCGCAATCGCATTGTGAGACAGATTGCACCAACCCATTTTAGTCAGGTCGGCCAAATGGGAACCGTCCAGCTTGTTGATCAAATTGTGGGACAGGTCCACGTACTCGGTGTCCCTCAGGCCTTTGAACTGATTCCTTTGTAGCTCCTTGATCTCGTTGCCGTGGAGATCGAGTCTCTTCAGCTTCTTCAAAGCAGTCAACGCTTCTACCGGAAGGGAGGTCAGGGTTCCTAAGAAAATCGAGATACCAAATCAGAGAGAAGATCGAAATCAATGGAGTTTCCTTTTACGAAACCCAGTACCGTTACTGATCTCCAGTTTTTCGATTTTAGCCGCCGCCGCGCTCTCGGCGAAGCTGTCCGCCGGCAGAGTGGCGATTCGATGACCGGCGATGCTCAGGATACTCAGGTTTCCCAATATCTGCAAAGCCTCGCGCGGGAATTTTTCCAGAACGCTGTTTATCACGTACAGCTCCTGGAGCGTCCTGTTCACGCCGAGAAAACTGTGCTCCTCGATCCGTCCCAAAGGCGTGTCGACGAACTTTAGGACTCGAACGTCCAGGGGATAAAGCGCTGGACCGTAAAAACGTCCTAAAAACGAAACACAAATGGACGAACGAGCTAAACTTGGGGCTCTAATTACTAGACTGCGAATGTTTATGTATTTGGGGGAAATTTTAATTCTTAAAAAATTACAGAATGCACTTAATATGCAGAAATATAAGAAATACTTAAAGATACGAATTATTATATTTAGGGGTTAAGACAATCCTCTACAAAGTTCCCATTTTATTAATATTAGAACTATCAAAGCAGTCAAAATGACCCATTCGCAATTTCTAATAACACTTGTAGAAAATTTACCGTAATTTTCTATAAGAGAATAAATAAACACTTATTTCCATTTCATTATATATTTCTTCACGTACCTATGGTTTTAATTTCTTTGGTACCAATAGTCACACTATAACTGTTGGTAGTTCTAGTGTTAATTTTATTAATAAAAATATGAATTTGCATAAAGATCGGCAGTCTATATACTTATCTATGATTTTTAACTTTTGTGTTACACAAAAAAAATGAGTGACAATGTAAATTAAATTGTTTTCTATGTATAAAAGAGGTATGTTCTTTCTTCGATGACGAATTTTATTATGATTTTTTTGGTTTAATATGCGAAAACAACTGAAGATAGCTGCACATAGTTTTATATTCAACTATTATTTCTTGATTTGATTTAGTATAACTCAAGGATTATCGTAGAATTGCAAAAAAAAATGATCGGCGATATAAATTAAATTTCTCTCCATGTATATGTGCTTTCTTTAACGACGAATTTTATTATGATGTTTTTGGTTTAATATGGGAAAACAACTGAAGATAGGTGCAAATATACTTGCAGACAGTTCTATATCCAATTATTATGTTTTGATTTCATTTAGTATAATTTGAAGATTATCGTAGAATCCATTTCTGACAGAATGCCTATCATGCTTCAGTTAAAACTTCGTAGCTTTGTTAATTTTGCAAATTTTGTCTTAAAATTTGTATAGGAAGTTGATTTCTTTCAGTACTAAATGAAAAGTATTAGTAGAAGCAATTGTTATTTAGTGAAGATCTTATACGAATTTTACGAAAATCTCCATCCATATGAATTCGTTATAATTTTTGCACATTTGTAGATATACATTGTTTAATATATAATGGAGAAATCTCGTTGCTTTCGCACTACTCTTTTCTCGGTAACATTTTTTTTCTTGAGGAGGCACTGTATTTGTCATTCGTTAGTATCGCTAGAGTCATCGCGAGGTTGACGTTGCACGAAGCGTTATACAGGGGCGGACTTCTAGTAAATTAAATTTTGCTGTTAAGTCATATTTCCGTAAATTAACTTAAAAAGAAAAAGTGACTCTTAATTACATTTTATATTTTTCAATTCAATGTATGTCTCGAGTTATATTAACTTATACATTAAAATAAAAGACTTCGTCTAATATCAACTACAAATTAATAAAATCGGATATTTTCATTAAATATTTAAACAATTGTTCCGAAGGATTACTTACTATGTAATTTAGGTCAAACAATATTATAATTATAATAATTTTAATAGAATCATAACAATAAAATTAAAAATAGCCAAATACTTGAGGGTTAATTTTGATCCCTTAAACTGAATTTCCGTAGCAAAAAAAATATTGTATAACATATATTTACATGTTTCTCGAAAAATGATGTTTTGCATTTATCGTTTAAAAAAATTTCATGTACTTATAACAGCTGTAAATACACGTATATAGCTTCAAGAAACTTTTAAAAAGTGTCTATACCTGAAAATTAAAATACAGAATAGAATTGTATACAATCTAGAAGTAAATTAATCAATTTAAACTAACTTATTTAATACATTCCTAAGCATTTTGGTTAATTAAAATAAAGGGTATTTCTAAGAAACGAAGCTTTTTTCCATTAATTTCTTTTTCACGAATGTGTATCAAATTTGTTGGTATTGCTAAACAGTAGAAAATAGCAGAACTATTCATTTTTGCATAGAATCTTCTATTTCGTTATCAGAAAGTAGATCATGATCTTATACATATTTGGAGTTCTTAATAGTTAGAGGAGGAATGCAATTCTTTTCTTTCAAATTATTCATTTAAACGTTTTGGCCGATTCTGTTACATTCGATATTTTTAGTAATAATGCCATTTTATTTGCAACCAATTCAAAATAAAATAGTGTAAAGTGACAAAGAAAAGTACTCCTATCATTTTATAGAGTTTATACTCGTACTACTATGCTTCTCATATACAGGATGGTTCACGCAACTCGTGCAGCTCTATAACTTCCAAAATATGCATTGCACGAAAAAGTTTGTATTCAAAAGTTGCATGGCTTAAAGGGATACATAATTTAGTGCATTTATTTTTGTTATAGGAGGAGGCGATTCGGAGATTTGAAGGTCAACTTTGTTTTTTTAAATAGAATACTATATTTTTTATTTCAAAATATGGAAGAATATCGAATTCTGAGTAGAAAAGTATTGACCTTTATTAGCCCTAAACCTTATAACTAACGAGTAATTTCAATTCATTTCTTGACAATTTTCTTCCCGTAATATCAAATAATGAGTAATAATAATAATGAGTAATTTCACTTGATTTCTCGATAATTTTCACTGTTCTACAGAAATCTGTAACAAGATTGAATCTCCAAATTCTTATTACGTGAAGAAAATTCTCAAAAAATAGGGTCAATATTTTTTTACTCAGATTCGATATTTTCCATGTTTCTATATAAAAAATATAGTATTCTAATTAAAAAAACGAAATTGAACTTCAAATCTTCGAAAAGTACCCCTTTAAGCCATGTAACTTTTGTATACAAAATTTTTTCGTCCAACGCATACTTTGGAAGTTATAGCGTTGTACAAGTTGCGTGGACCATTCTGTATTTCCATAGATTTCTACAGTTTCAAAATGTTGTTTATCTCCGGGTTAAGGATCATTCCTTGTTAACGAGGTCGTTGAAAATATGAAAAATGCTGTTCGATTCGAAAAAACGGATAATATTATACGCACCTATATTACATTTGTACAAAATTAGCTCCTCGATGGGCATGCCCTCGTTGCCTAAATTGGAGAACGCCAGGCTGAGGCTGGCGAGATTGGTGTTCTCGCAACGAACGTAAAGGCCTCTGTCGCTGCCACGAAGACACACGCAGGGGTAGATGTACTTAGATTCCTTGGGACACCTGAACCGCGGCCCGGGTGGAACGTAGCCGCCCATGGCGGACAGGACCATGGCCCATAATAACGGGAAAAGAAGTATCATCTGCGGGGCAGACAATGGCGGCGTTCTAATTAAACGTTTCGTTCTCATTCGTCGTGCTACCCGGGGCAAAATACGCTAATGGGAACGATCGCTCGTAAAAACAACTTTTATTAGTCACCGCTACTGTCGCAATTGCGCCGTTTTTACGCGAAACGTGAGAAAGTTTTTCCCCGCGCAGGTCCGTTGGCCCCGCGTCAGATTCGTGCCGCGATAGCGCGGCGCCAATTAAAATTTCCCTCGATTCGAAACCCTTACGGACAACCAGCCTTCTCGTTTTTTCAGTTTCGTTTGGAAAAGCCGTGATTTATCGCGTTTCGAAACTGCCTCGCGTCGACCGATTTCCGCATCAGCGGCCTCCAGAAACAATTACGAGCGAAGGTAAACGCGTCGTACGAACATTTCCAAACAGACATTCAGCCGAAACTGGCAGAATTTTTAATTAATTATCGAGCACTTTTACTTAATAAGTTTTGTATAAATGGGAAATTTTTGTTTTTCCTACGTTGAAAATGGAGTTAATGGAGTCAGAGATATTAGACTGTCACCCAAAGGAAAATTGAGTTTATGGTATAGTGGTATAATACTATAATAATTTATAATATACATCCTAGAACAAAATCCTCTAATTTTTCAAAAATCGTAATTCAATTTCAATTCCTCAAACAATGCTAATTAAAAAAATAGTTGGGATTTACATATTTTGCCTTAAATTATCTGTAGTTGTTTGGAAATTTGTCAACGTTTAAAATACTGATCGTTCTTTTACCCTCTAATTTCGTCATTAATAGCACGCACACGAGCGATGCAACAGTTACAGTTAATTCTTTCGCAACACGCTTTGAAACGGTTTACTCAAATGGCACGGCACGTCCTTCATATTTTGCCTTTCTGATTTACCGATGAATATTAAAGTATAAGAATAATAAAGTTTCTATGAAACTAAACACTGTAAACGTAAATAAAGGTTTCGGAGATGGTCTGATTCCCCCACTAGCTGTTAAATCATTCTGAGTTCTTTATGGCTAGGGTAATTTAGATCGCTTTTAACTCCTCTTCGAATTTCGTATTTTTTTGCCTTTTTTCTAATTTTAAACCTGTTTGCGTTTTCAGTGGTACATGTTTGTTAATTATTATAGACTCAATACTTTAAATATACAGGTTGAGTCATTTAACTCTTTCACCTTAATTTTTCTTATAAACTGCATGTATAAAAACATGTTTCGAACGAAACTTGTTTGATATGAAGACGTGCATACACGGTAACAATTAATTTGTTGCTATTTTCCTTTTTTATCAAATTTTTCTGCATTCAAACGTTTTGCTCTTGCAGAGTTTTCATTCAGAGGTACCATGAGCAAGGATCATATCCCGCTTTTCAATATTACTAAATTTCATTATAACGACGATATTTGTCACGTTCGCTTCTGCTAATGACTTATCACTGCAGAATTGATTCATGCAGAAATAACATTAGAAGATTCTACATGTTGCTAAACATTGAAATTGAGGCAAGCGTTGCGTGGAATTCTCATACACAAAAGTTTCACAATCCTTCACTGGAGAATATCTCGGTAACTATTTATTTCTGACCCCATGCATCTTAATAAGTTTTTATTCTATATTCAATAGACGTTCGAATAGTGTGATAAATATTGCACATTATGGTTAAAAAATTCAAGGTTCTCTCCATATTTTGATAAAAAAGAAAAACAGCAAAAAATTAATTATTGCTGTGTATGCTCCTCCTTATGCCAAACAATTTTTGTTCGAAACATTTTTTTATATAACTATAGTTTACAAGAAAAATTAAGGTGAATATTAAATGACCCGCCCTGTATACAGGATGTTCGGCCACCTCTGGGAAAAATTTTAAATGAAAATTCTCCAAAACAAGACGAAAATCAAGAATATCAATTTCTTGATTGATGCTCCGTTAAATAGTTATTAACAAAATTGAATTAAAAAATTTCAAACCATTTTGGAAAAATTATTTTTAGTTGCGGGGATCAATTACAATCATTTTTGGTAAATACACACACCTCCGAATTTCTACGCATTTTAGAGAAAAAAATTCCTTACCGAAAATATTATGTCTGACCCGTGACCAGAAATGTTCTACTAAAACATCATGCGTATGTTCAAAATATCATAACTCCTGCATAGATTGGAGCATTTCAGTGTTTCAAAATGTAAAGATTTTAGCGTATTTTAGTGAAGAATATGTAGAAATTCCAAGAATGTTCGAAAAGTTGTTCCTTAACCCCGTAACGTGAGGAAAACCCCCATAAAAATGGTTTAATTTTCAAACGACCATAACTCCTACAATAGTCAAAGGATTTCATTGAAATTTAGTAGAAGTAGAGAACATGGGTACCTACAAAAAATTATTAGACCAAATATCCGTAGCATGTCAAACAAATTTATTAAAAATGAAAAACAAATTTTTAAGAAAAATCGGAGAGTGTGGGTGTCTAAATTCGACAAAATTAAAACATTTCAAGACGTTCTAAAAAAATTATTGTCAGTTGCAGGGGTCAATTATAGTTGTTTTTGGTGAATAGACATACCCATGAAATCCTGCGCATTTTCGAGAAAAAAATTCGTGTAGGTGGTCAAATTTTATTAATAACTTTTAACAATAGTTTTGTTAATAACTTTTTAACGAAGCCTCAATTAACAAATTGGTATTCTTGATTTTCGTCTTATTTTGGCCTGTAGAGTCTCTCATTAAAGTTTTTTCCAGGGGTGGCCGAACACTCTGTACATACTTAACACTTTACCAACTGGTACCGATTGACTCGAGGTTATATATGTACGTACTTTTTCTTGTACTTATAGGAATGTTACATCAAACTTTGTGAAAGTGCTTACCACATTGTTTTTTTTCTGTTATTATAGGGTAATTAAATCTAGATTAAAAGATGATTTCCAGGAACATTCTGTAAACAATATTATTTGTTTTTGGATTTTCTACAAACATGGAGATTTCTTACGTATAAAATGTTTGAAATGACTAACATTGACGGAAGTGTTGACATTGTACTAATTTTAAACAAATGACATCGTAATTCTCGTCAAATTGCTACAGTGATTGTAGAACATTTCTACATAAGGAAACCACATATGAAATTTATAAATTTAGAAAATCGTGCTTGAAAAAATTATTAATTCAAAAACCTAATAATATTTTTTATTTCCATGACAACCGATTAATAAGCCACCGGTTGGTAAAGTGTTAAATTATTTTGTCCTTCGTAATAGACGAAACTATCAAGCCTGAAAACAAAGGAAGAATTGCGAAGTGTTAAACTGTTAACTTCTGCGAATATCTGTGACCCACTCGGGATACTCTCTCACTGTGAGCTTAAAAGCCGATCTTCGGATGGAGGTTGGTCGAAAAACCAACGTCCCACGCGTACGGATGATACATTAGGACTAAGCTCTGCGTAGAAATAATAATTTCGTGGGTGCACCGGCTCACGTCGAGGCGCGACTAATTCGTTCGCGGATCGCCGCTATCATATCGCCAGCAGAAACAAAGAAGTCGTAAAGAGACGAACGACCTCGTCGTTGCTGACGCTTCCTCGGAGGGCCGTGTCCGCGGAGGAATTGCGTGCAACGACTGTTATCCACCATGTATCTATTTAATCAGCGATCCGTCCTGACAATTCCGCCCACGAGGTCACCGCGACGAAAGATAAATCATAGACGAAACTCGTTGTGAACAATTACGTTGATTAACTTTTTACAAATACATACTCCGGACGGGGGCTGCCATTCACCGCGACACGATCGTCGCGCTCAAGTGTCGCAAACCAGGAGACACGCTATTGGAAATGCGTGCTGATGCGCTCGGTTGCAGAGTTTTCCGATAGAAAGTGAAATGAATGGGGCTTTCGCGACGCGCGCTCTAATGCAAATACTTTCTATCGTATTATAGCGGGTATAATACCTAAGTGATAGAGATTCAACGGAGAAACGTACTGCTGCGCGATGGTGCTCATTTGGTTAAAGTAAAGTAGTTCAGTCTGGTTGGAATCATGAGCCGTTAGCGGAATATGAATGTTATCTGATGCTCGATACCGTAATCGTCACGAAGATTTCATGTTTTTTCTCTGGAAAAATATTTTTACATATATTATACTCTATATGAACAGAGGAGAAATTTTTTGTTCTACATGGGAAAAGAAGAAACTTTTGTATATCGATTTCGCAATTACCTGCCCCCAAAAAACCCTCATATATCAATTTTCAAGCAAACGTAATATATTTTTAGCATACAAGTAGACCGTATCGAAACCATCATTTTGAATTTCGGAATGCTGATATCCAAATTCATATTTGTATTAATAGAATTAGTGAAATGGGAGCTTTATAGAGGGTAATCTCAACCCCTAAATATAATAATTCGTATCTTATTTTAACTATTTTTTATATTTTTGCATATTAACTCTTTTGTATTCCACTAGCGTTTCTATGGTGACAAATGTAATACGTAGCCATAGCTCAATACAAGAATGTAATTTAGGAAATATATGAATAAAATTTAAATTATAAGTATTTATTCATTTTTGTAAAGAAAAGTTTCTTTATTTTTAGAAGTCACGTCACAAAATTGCAATTGGTATTGCTAGTTGTTATTATTAACGAACACTCTGGAAGTGCAAAGGGTTAAGTGCATTCTGTAGTTTTTTAAAAATTAAAATTTCCCATAAATGCATAAACATTCGCAGTCTAGTAATCACTATGTCAAATACAAAACTCTCAGTTTTATAACACAACTATCTAACTTATATATAACTATCCTATTTACTTTTTATTTGCTGAGCGTTTTTAATGTTATTTAAACGTCAACTTTATCTTTTTAAATAGAAATTTATGTTTATATTAACAGATTTTCATTCCACATGGAAAAAGGAGAAACTTCTATATATGAGACTCTTCTTTATCAGACATGTTTTAGAAAAACGTTAAATAAAATTTATTTAGTTTCGCTGCTC